TATATATTGGAATATGTATTTATTTTTCATTAAATCAGTTGTGGGCGTGTTGTGTTTTATAAAATCATGAATTTTGTTGTATGTTGGAGGTCCTACAGAGCTGAGGTCTTGTAAAATGAACACAATACTTAAAATGAGAGTGATAACACATTTGTCAAAACTTAAAGACATCTGTTAAGCCATTGATTAGGAGACCTCCATCATATAAAGTTGTCATTAGAAAATCAGAATATTCATTAGAAGGATACACTTTTGGCAGATTTGTATTATAAGGATATACATGGTTTGATCAAGAAGTTCTAAGACTTGATGTTCAGGGTATTGTTCATCAGAAATTTGTACCGAGTGGTCAAACAATCAATCAGGCCCTTTATAAAGAGGTTTTGATTTGATTGAGGAATAAAAGGTAGGAGAAACCGCTGCGAGCTGTGTGAAAATGGTCAATAGTTTCTGCACCATGACAACGCTCCTTCACACACTGCTGCCTCCATTCAAGAATTTTTGGCTGAAAAAAAACATTCCTGTGATACCACACCCTCCGCATTCACCTGACCTTGCCCCATGCAATTTTTTTCTGTTCCCAAAAATCAAAATGAAGCTGAAAGGAAGGAGATTTGATGACATTCCAACCATCCATAAGAACGTGAAAACGGAACTCAAAAAACTCACAGTTGAAAACTTCCAGCATTGCTTCCGGAAGTGGTAGGAACGTTGGGACAAGTGCATATCATCTGGGGGAGATTACTTTGAAGGGGACAGCTCATACAAATGTTGTTTGTACACTATTCTTTAAAATAAAGGCTAGGTCTTAGAACTTTTTGATCACCCCTCGCATAATGTCTCAATCCTGCAAAGACTTGGAAGTGGGGTTAAGCACTGGGGAACGCTTACACTATAAAATGTTTAGTACAAATCTTTGTAAAACGGGTTCATTTTTCTAATTTTATTTAAATAAAGTTTCTCTCTAAAATATCCACTTTTTCACTAGTACAAGTAAAACTGAATTGCTTGGTGGCTATAGCAGTTCTTGTTTTGTTATGTTCAGTTAAATTTTGCAGCTCTAGAGGACTTTCAAACTTTAGAAATGTTTCAGTTGTAGGATATTTATAATGGGTAGAGAATCACTCTGCTAGAAGCAGTAGAACATTTCACAGCTTAATCTTGCTATTACCATCCTTAAACCCTTCTAAAGATCCGTTTAAGTCTCAAATTCTAGATCACACTTACCACTTTTTTTAACCCACTGGTGTTACATGTAAGAGCTAAGATTACTATCATCTGAAAAGAGATTGGGGGGAATTTATTTTATTTACTTCAGAGACCTGAGGAAGGGTACTGTGGTACCTAAATGCTTGTCTATGTCCTTGCCAATGATACCGTTGGACAGTTCGTTCAGTAAAAGGTATCACCTACAAAAACTATTGCCTCTGTTTACTTCATGCATTTGATGTATGAAACAGCAGGTCACTGTTTCTCCTGGATAATCAGTTCTTTTGGCTTTTTTGGGTGTTCTCAACATTTCAGAGAAAAAAATATTTTTAAAACAGAATAATGAATATACCCATAAGTTACAGAAGACTTCTATCACAGAAGCACAGAAAAGGACTAGGATGTAAACTTACATATTTTGATTTGTTAGTTTTGTTCTTTAGATAAACTACCAAGCTTTCTTTTTTGTAACGGCTGCTAAAAAATGTTTGACTAGTGTTATACTAGCAGCTAAGCAATTTTCATCCTTCTAAAAGTGAACCTTGTCAACAACTAGTCTTTTACCTGGTCATTTACCTCATGTACACAGTGCCCTGGGTAAATACCAGGTCAAATTTCTGTGAACTGGTTTCTCTTGACTTCATGTGCACATTTTATTTCTAAACCAACTAACTATGATTGACAAGTACATACTGATGTAAACAGAAGTTACATTCATGTATCAGAGAGCAGAATTTGCTCCATTAGATCTTTATTCTATATAAACAAAGTTTTGTTTTCCTTTTTTTAAAACTCCCGGTAGACTGTATAAGCCTATCCACCAGGGGCAAAAAAGGTGGCTGCACGAACCAAGACAAATCCATGGACTGGTTTACAGGAAATGAAGAATGAAATGCATCTGACAAGACTGATCACTGACACAGCACAGAATCTTCAAAACTTGCTTCCTGATAAAATGTTTGTTTTCTTTGTTGCATAGCTATAGCATAACTGATTATTTCATTTGCTCTTCCCTTTTCAATTGTACACAGAGTATCAAAATTTATATTCAATACAAATCAAAGCAATAATCATTTTAAAAAAAATGTACAAGTCTACAAAAACAGTATTTATAACATTTAATATTATTTTGGTAAAATACAGTACTTAAATTATCAACTGTCATCTGGAACGGTGTCTGGATATACTGGGTTATATTTCCTCAGTTTGATAAGAAATACTAGTTTAGGGGGAGAAAAAAAGGTAATGTTATTTCCACAACAATCTCAACATGCTAGTCACAGAAAATGATTGTAAGTTAGGTTGTTCTATTATGTCTAATATAGCTATGTATTTAAATATAAAAACAATCTTTAAAAAACAGTATTACACAAAATTTAAGATTATAAAAGTATGATCCAAACATTTCTCACCTGTGTGACCAACTTGCCAAGGGTAAGGCCGAGCAATGTAAGGTACTGAACCAACATGTTCCAAAAGTGACTCTGTTAGATTACAATACAAAGCAATTATTTTCCGAGTTACAAAGAATATACATCAGACCAGAGCATCTGTATCTAAATGCTAATTTTCTTAACATCCCATCTTTCTTTCATTTGATAATCTGTTTCTCTCAAGATGCTCTGCATCAGCAGCTAGTTCATACAGCCTGTATGATGTTTTCATATACCTACAGCTAAAATGAGCACCCCATTTTTCTAACTGGACTCTCAGTAGTTTTGAAAATATGCCATTGTCAAAGCTCTACAGTAACACACATAAATATAGGAGTCTTCCATAAGACTATGTCTGTACTGCCTCTGTGCCAGGCCTTGGATTGCCACCAAGAGGCAGTCTCCACCCAAACACTTGTGGAGGTGGTATAGACAATCCCCAAGACAAAATTCTCTGAATTAAGCAGTTTAAAGATATGCGCTGAGTGGCCTGACTGAGTTTCAAATCCAAATGTACTATTTAGTTTGCAATTATTTGTTTTTTAAATCAAAAAGCTATTGCATTTGAAACTGTGTCTTTATTAACAGGGCTGCCAATCAAAAAGTATAGAGGCATTTCCTAGTCAATATTGACTGTAAATGTCACAGTTCGCATGTGTGGAAGGAGAGGGCATGAATGCCAATCACGGCTTCCATATCCAAAACTCTCAGCGTTAATAGTTTTGGTACTTTTTCATAGGAAGGAGAACAAGAAGAGAGGGTGAGCAGAACAGGCCAAGTCTAAGAGACAAAAATAGTATTTAGCAATGTGATTACATTTTTAGCCCTCAAAAAATCTTTGTTTTCAACATGTATTAAAATATATATTTTTAATATTTCATGGTTAGAGACCCAGATTTACCAGTTTCAGACCACAGAAAGAAGCTACACGGACAGGCCAGCCACATCTCAGCAACAAGTCTTTATCTACTTAAGCAGGGGTTAATATTTCTGTCATGAAATAGTAATCACTCTCCATGCTTTGGGAAATAAGTCAGAAAACCAGCAGACTCCTATAGGAGTCAACAAAGTTTAAGTACATCACAAAGGTGGTAACTTTGGCTGATAAATGTGGAGGATGAATATATACCTGAAGTGATGCAAAGGAAATTGTTGGGGATGGAGAAAAAGTGGGAGTATGAAATGGTGATTGATAGTTCAGAGAATGTCTATCTTTAAGAAGAAAGTGTAGTGAAAGTAATGCTTCTCAAGTGGCAAATGGGAAACTTGCATTACTCTCCAGCTATGACTGCAAAACACGCATATAATTAAAGATAATTTCATACCATCACCTTCACTGCCTCCAATGACAGCTTGTTCCTGAACAAGATATTCCTCATCTTGTTGAGGTTCCTCATCTACATTTTGTTGTGCTTCTACTCTTGGGGCAGGCCTGCTGTCCTTCTTTCGAGCTGGTTTTATCAACCATTCTCTCTGAATAAGTTCAATGATCTGTTCACACAGAAGAGGGAGCTTGCTTGTCCGCATTCCTTCCAACAGGCCAATAACCTGTGTGATACTTTTAAAGTTCAAAAGATAGAATGATACAACATTTTTATTTACTGAAATCCTTACATAAAAAACTGCTGGCCTGCGTTCCGTGAAGTTCCCTGTGCTCTTCACTTTTTGTTCACACAAGTCTTTCAGTTTTAGTGTAACTTAGCATAAAATCTTAGCATAAATTGAAAAACAATTGGCAGATCTTCAGGATGAACTCCTGCTGAAGGCAAAAGAAGCTTTACTCAAATAAGACTAAAGGATTTGGTCCAAAGCAAATTTTACTAAGTACAGCTCAAGAATGAAATACATAGTTCAAAAATAAAAAATCCATATTTATTTCACACTTTAATAAAACTACAACTGCTTAAGTGATGCCCGAGTCAAATCAACTTTAAAATGCCAGAATTTAACACTTACTTTGCTAGATATACAGCACATACACCACCCTGTTTAAGGTTTGGGTACACAATAGGCAAAGCAGCCTGAGGGTCAAGCATATCCAGAGCTACCTACAGAAGAAAGATATTTGTTGACACAACTAAATATGCAAAAACATAAATTCCCCAGGCCACCAGAAGTAGAAAAAAAAAAATGAACTTATGGAGAGAGAATATATGATACTACAGTGTGTGTGTGCGCGCGTGTATGTTGTTCCACACAGTATAAAATCTACATGTTCTTCCCATCTCTGAAAAGATTAGGCAGACTCAAGTCCCATGTCTTTAAAAAACAAATAAACTCCCTAAACTGTTGAATTGCTCACTGCTACCCCGTTCCAAAGGAAGTGTTGATGCACCTGTTAGTTTTTCCTAAATGGGCAATTCATCTTTAACCAATTTATATGAAAGTTGGATTAGTATCAAACCTTCCAGTGATTAAACTATATATTGCTGGAATAACAACTCTAAAGTCTGGAGCAGATATTATGTAAAAGTATTGCTTTTTGGATATTTCTTTAAAAAGTTAAGAAATACTCAACTGTATTTATAATGAAAAATCACATTACACAATGAAATATTAAAATTCAGCTGTTTAACTCATGAAACTTCCAGCTATAAGAATTACCCCTTCTTCCCAGCCAGATCTTTGTTTGAAAACATTTTAAGGTACAGACAAAGATTGGAGTATGTATACTTACATGTTTTTGGGTGGAATAACAACTTACTGTAGCCATGATTTTGAGTCAGATATATATGCTTTCAGATGCTGGCAACTCTGCATGCATGCATGTGAGCTAGTCAATAAAACTCTATTTATTCCTTTAATCTAAAGACTTATGTCAGTCCAGTAAAACTGATTTAATAAGCTATTGTATTAAGCAGTTGCTCACTTTTTGTGGAGAAGCAATATGGGTACAAAAAGTTTTCTTCAATTTAACAGAATAAAGATTTTAAAAACAAAGAACTGTGTTTACAAAATGCGCTTTAAAATGTTAATATTTGGGTGAGAGCAGAGAAAAGAGTTGACAATGCTCTTCATTACTTCATCACGCACTGCAGTAAGTTTCTTTCAGAGATAGGATTATATAATAAAAGTGCTTATGCCTTTATAGCATAAATAAGTGTATGTAACTGTTCCTTACATTAATATGTACCTAGTTCATCTGTAGAAAAGCCCACTTTCCATCCTGGTCCTACTTTTCTCCAAAGGGAAGCAAATAAAGTAAGTTTCCCCCTACAAGATATTAAAAAGTGTAGTATGTCCACAATACAGAAATACCAGTTTCTTTTCAAGGTTTAACTTGGATCACATACAAACACTTGCTTTTTCACAAACAAAAATGGGGATTACCCATTTTTGCTGGTGAGAGGTTTTACTGTTTCTTTACATTTTATACTCAGCCTAGACATGGAAATCCCACAGTGGGTAGAAACAGATATGAAAATTACTTTATGTTGAATTAAGAAAAAAAATGCCCATTATGTCAGTTATGGAGTTTCTTTTTAGAGACTTACTGCGTCAAATGTTACAGATTTCATATCCTCAGCAGCTGTTAAAATGTCTTGCTTAATGAAATCCACGTTATCTGGCCATTCTTCTACATGTCCTATTACCCATGCATCACGCCAGAGCCTGTAATTCTTCTTTGCTAGAGCGTGGTGATCTTGTCTGATTTCATAACTGATAACACGTCCTTGTGGCCCAACTTAAAGCAAATAAAACAACTACTTTTACTATGTCTCCTGTATCCCCATTTGCAGGTTAAAAGTAACATAGTAAACAACAAATAACTTCACCTGAATTGTTTCATCTTCCTCAACCTAACAAACTATTATGTAAAAAATAAATATATACATTTTATTTCAAGTGAATTGGGTATCTAGCATTCCAGCCAAACATTAATGAGACTAAAATGTTTCTATCCATAGATAGAGAATAGGTATTGCAGTCCAAGCTGTCCATAACACTGCCTTGCCAATGTGCTGGGAGCACCACTCATGATAAAAGATTTCAGTACCTTATGGGTCATTCAGTTGCTGAGTTCTCTGTTAAAGATGTCAACAATAATTTCAGTGTGAAGTCAGCACATGGATTTTATGTACTGCTCCACTATAATCACAACCTCAGTGTTGCAAGCTAACTACCCACAATCACCATGGGTTCAGTGAGGAAAGGGCAACCTAAGAATAATTAAGAAAGAAGCTAGAAAGATAAGGTAAGGGTGATGACAAAAACTGAGTGAAATTCATTTCTGTCCAGAGGGCTAGCACAAGGCCTGTGCAAGATTTAAATCTTCAAATTACAGTTTAAATGGTTTACAGGGCATATGGTAGCCCTCTGAATTTCAGACTATATAAATAATAGGTATGAATCTTAAAATCCTAAAAACAAACAGGCTAGTAACTTCAGGCTCCTATTAATGAAAAAGTACCACTTCTTATACTGGAACTGTTTATATTGCTTCTGTAATAAATACACTCCCACATTTGTCAACACTCAGATTTTTTTTTACCTGCTCTTGATAAAAACAAACTCATTGCACCAGACCCAGAACCACTTTCCAACACAGTGTCCCCTGGATGGATGTCCATCATCAACAGCATTGCCTTAATATCCTATGGGTAAAAACAATTAAGTTGAAAAACCAATATCTTATGCTGTTTCTTCAAACAGTGAGTTGTTAGACTACTTCTTTACATCATGTAACATCTTTATGATTAAAAAACCCAGTGATCTAGGCCAGTGGTTCTCAACCTTTTTCCTACCGGGACCATTTTCAAAGAGCCATGGCCTTTTCCGACCCACACTGCCCTGGCTCTGCCAGTGCCCGACCCCCAGTCCCTTGCCCCCCCCCCCCCGGGGCC